TACCAGGCCCATGACTTGTTCGTCCTTGGTGTTATAAAAAATAATAAAAAGCTCCGTGCCCAGTAGTGACACGGTTGATGGTGACGATGATAATGATACTAGTAACTTTAAACATTTGATCTGTTGGCTGCTGAATATCTAAACTCCCTGACCAGGTTAACACGAGCTAGCATAAATTTCTTGTAGCAACCATAAATAGGTATCAAAATACTTTGCACTATCGCACTTATAATAATAAACCATTAACAAACTATAAAACTATACCTCGTGATAATACCTAATACCTTTTATTAACAATATTCAACGCTCTTTTTACGACATGCTCGGTCATCAAGTTGCACGTGGCAACTACTCATGTTATAATCCACGTGATCCAGCGGTCATTGAAAAACACACGTTGTTCATTTGTTTACTTGATATTTCTAGTGGCGATTTTAAAATGCACCGGCCGCGGCGCACCGCACACTGGATATTTTTGTTAACTTTTGTTTTTGTAAAGTGCATCCCTTGTGGTTGTGTCTTGCCGTTCGGATGTTTTTTTTAGCCTTACCTTTACTGCGACTCAGGACACTGAAGACTCAGTATACAGGGTGAAACTTTGGGACAGTTCAGTAAGGGCAACTACCTGAACCGTCATAGCTACAGGAAAATGATTTAAAAATTGTCCATGAATTTTTAAGATACTTCGATTCGCATGTACAGATTTCGAAAAAATTTTGCATAGTCAGCGAGATAAAAGGCAATTTTCACGTAAGTGTTTTGTCATGCCAGTCCACCCTATTTCGGGTAAGGATCAAAAGTTTTTATGGGACCAACTGATGTAAGAGGATTAAAATTTTACCAAAAATTTAGTCATAAACTGCCCTTGCTGACTCATTTCAAATTGCCAACCTGTATATAAATAATTTGTATACAAAATGTTATATCTTGTGATCGCTATGCCCACTGTGTAATTTGCTATACATAGTCGCTAACGACAACTGTCAGTGTGAACTCGTGGTAGAGGCAACGAAAGCCCTTAACTCGTATAATAAGTTAAGTAGCGAGCCCGAAGGCACCCAGGTGGGCACTAACCTTGGCTCACGACGCTAGTGTTAAACACCGTTTGGCAGCCGAAGAGAAACTTTATTGTTCTATTTCAGAAGTTCCCAAACTTTTTTGTTCCGTTGACCATATATAATTTTTTTCTGTTTTGCGTAGATCCCCTCCTTGCTTTATTATTATTTTTCTTTATTGAATCGGTCACTAGGCTTGGGCTACTGTTAGTTTCAATTGCCGTTAATTCTGATTGAGGACAGCAGTTTAGGCAGCAGCAAGATTTTTGGAAGAATCTTTTCGGCTGACTGCTGTTGTGGTGATTATACCTGAAAATCAGTGTAACAATACATGGTTTTTTTTACAAATTCTGTCAAATTGTCACTTTTAACTGTGCTCACTGATGATTACATTGAAATTAAATCGCCCCAAAATTCTTTCATATCGTTCTACGTTCATTTTATGACTTTACTGTCTGTTTATTATTCTTTTGAAAAAACAAATATACCGACGCGATTTATATTATGTATCGTTTCATTTCCAAATAAATAAAGAATAAGTGTAAAAATCACCTCTGATGCAGCTGAGTTTAAGAAATATTTATATAAGTAAAAATTGTGGAGAGTAAAAAAAAATCAAGATACTCTTATGCCAATTTTGGTAACAAGGACTTATGTTCTTTTTATAATATCAAGTGACGGGACGAACCAGTCGTGCACCTGATGGTAAGCTACACGCCTGTCCATACAGTAGCAGTGCTACTCAGCTCTTTAAATCGCAAAGATCTAAGGGCGCACTGGCACTGAGACATAAGTTGACAAGTCCCATGTGCATGTAATTTTACCAGCACTCTTACCCTTCAATACCGGACACAGTAATGCAGACATTACTGTTTGGCGGTAGAACTAAATAAGGTGGTAGTACTTCCCTGGACGAACTCTTTCACAAGGAGCTCTACTGCTTTTAAAACACTAATTATAACTTAGTAATGGTAGTTATGTGAGTGTGTGTGCACTGTATATATGTATAATTTTAAAACAATAGAATCATCGATACGACAACAATTTCTCACTTTGGATTTTGTACCACAATCAGCAATTACTTCTACGCTATTAATTATTATTACCCCATTGTTAATAAATAAATAAATGATTACACGTTTCAATTAAGTATAAGAACATTTTTCAGTAACAATTATAACGTTAACCATTCACAGTCACGTGGTAAACGTGACACCATTGACTTTAAGATCTGACTCGTAAAAAAGTTTACAGCCATTACTAAGAAACTAGGTAGTCCTTGAAGCTAGTTAGGTATTATTGCTGCGTACTCAACGTAAAAGAGGTAAATCGAATTTAGAGTTGTCGGTAACTTAAGTTTGTTGTCGATATAAGTATGTACGGTTAACCACATATTTTAAATACATACATAAATATACTTCGCGCCTTTTTACCATCGTTGCTCCTGATATACAATATGTCGTTTCTTTTAACTGGGACTTTTTGCTGAACTTTGATTACATACGTGATACAGGGAACCTGTCTTAAGATCTAGTTATATACAATCAGTTAGAATTCTTGCGACATAGTTCCAGTTTTCAATTAAACTAATTACAACTATTTTATAAAAAATACAATTTCAAAATGCACATCGCAGTGTTCGTTGCAACTATTTGGCAAGTTTTGTTGAGATCGGTTAACGGAAAATGGGTGAAATCCAATAAACCAGATTCATCCCATTAGAGGTGGAAAATTTTCTTCGAATTTAAATGGTAACTAGTACTGAGATATTATCTTTCCAACAAAACAAGATTCGTCGAAATCGGTTCAGAAATGTCGGCGTAACCGCGTAAAGTACACTCACAAAAATAAAAAAATAACAGGCAAACCGAGAACCTTCTCCTTTTTGAAATCGGAAATACTGAAGTATACAAAGGCTAGGAAAGGCTTTCTTTCTCGTTACAAATCTGCACGCAAAAGCGTTTTTTCCACGCTAGAGTGGAAACGGTTTTTGAAATACGAATTCTTTGAAAGTCTCATTTCGAACTCTCTCGAAATATTTAATTTTAATTGCATTTGTTTTTTAAATTCTTATTGCGCCGTCAAATTAGATGCTTGTGGAAGCGCTGCGCGCTGTAGTGGCGCGTCTATGGCGCTGTAGCCGCGCCACTACTAATTTTCATAGTATGCAAAAGAGTCGCGCGTTTGGCGACTGTGGCGCTTCTAAATATTGTATGAAAAATACTGCAGCGCTTCTAGTTTGAAGTCGCCGTTACACTAGTAGTATATTTCATCGAAAGTTACCAGTAATTTTTATGCTTAGAAGCTGACCTAGGTCCTTCCCTAGCATCGTCCTTGCTTTTTACAGCCTCGGAACTCGTCAATCATGAAATGGTAGCACTATTTATTTTAGTGCTTTAGCCACGTTTCGCTTTTACGTATTTTACGTAATTTTCGCCAGATTGCTTTTGTCGAGAAGGGTTTTTAACGTGAACTGTCTCTAAAATTAGACGAGATAAAAATACAAGGGTAGTACCCGTATGTTTCTATATTTCGATCATAATTGTTTGCGTACCCAGACGGTGTTCGCACGAACCACGTCCGCAACTCCCCCACGCCTAGAGCCTTGCCTTGCTCAATACTCTCCTGGACGAGATCCGTGATGCCGATGTGCTCACCGACAAGTTATCGAAAGTAATATGTAATGTTGACATTTTTTGAATAACTACTTGACATGATCAAAGAGTGTAAGTACTTAACATTATTGATTACTGTTATTTCATTGTTTTATTTTCTTTCTGTCTTATTGTTTATAATTTTATGTACTTGTACTTATGACTAGCATTGTGAGTGCTTTGAGTGACACTGTAAACTCTCAATGTATATTTTTAAATAAATAAATAACGCAACCAAAGACAATGATTACTGTTAAGACAGCGAATAACCAACCTCTACAAACATAGATTTAGTATATAGGTACCCAATCTATGTCTACAAGGTTTCCAACTGATTTTTTGCAAATTGCGTACGATTTTCATCTATTTTGTTTGTTTTGTCTTATATTTGTTGCAATAAAGAATATCGAAATTCGAAATTTAAATTAAATTTTATATAAAAACTTGAAGAATCGCGTCGTTGTTTTGATTAATGGTAAAACGGGCCGCAATTTAGGATATATTTTTTAGCCAAGTACCAATTCTAAATTGTTTAATGTGCTTTCATATAGCAAACATTTAAATTTTATTGTAATTATATGCTTTCATGTAGTGTTGACCCTTGATTCTAGCAATTCACCTACATTTCGCGACTAAAGCAATAACAATAATTCGTTTCAATATAAAAATAGTAAACATGCCAAACTTCAGGGTCGTTGAACTTATATTATAAACCCGGAACCTAATTTAAATGAGTTCGAATGGTTGTTGATTCTTATAAGTGGACTTCCTCGTGGAATACGTTAATAAATAAATCTAAACGTAGTACAAATAAATGTTTTGGTAAACAATACACAAAAAGCACGTTTTTGAAAACACATAATGTAGATTGCTTGTGTAAGCCGACAGTTGGTGCTTTCACTACCATGTCCTAATATATTATAGTCATCGTATGAAAGCAATACTGCCTAACTTATCGTAACCAACGTAAGCGATATTTGTAGCGAAATTGAGTTATTAACCAGTGAAACGAGATCTACAACCCCCCATAAGCGGGTTTTTATATCTTATTAAGTTTCAGATTTTGCTATGTTAGTTATGACGAGGAGGGTAGAGTAAGTACTTCGTCTAAGAACTCGTGATTTTTTAAAATATTTACGTATCTGTAACCTGGTATATCAAACGTAATATATGAATAATATAACTTTATTTATATCCATTTTATATGCTATGTCAATAGAAAAAAAGAGGTACAAGAAGAGAGAGAGAGGGTATCTGTAGTCTTTAATTTGCAATCCTGTATCTTTCACAGATAATCAAGATCCCAGAAACAAAAGAAGGTTTCATCGACCTAAACAACCTGGAACACAGATTACAGCAGAATTCGGGAACAGGAAAACGTATGATCGGATTCTTTCCAGCCGCTTCTAAGTTGACTGGTGTACTGGCTGACGATGTTGCCACAACTTTGTTACTACATCAATATGGAGCCTGGTCTTTCTGGGACTACACTCTAAGGGCGCCAACATCATCAGTGGATATGAATCCAACGTTCCCAGGAGTAGAAGAGGAAATGGTAAAGAAGGACGCCCTGTTCTTCAATTGCGAGAAGTTTATTGGTGGAGTGCAGGGTCCTTTTGTTGCCGTTATCAAGAAGGACGTGTTTAAGTATTCTCCGATGTATTGTGAGGACGTAGAGGTTTGTATTTGCCTCTTATTTGATGATGATTGAGATGAATTAATTGATACTTATCACGATATAGTCTTAGGAATAATGGGAGTCACAAATTCAACTGCTACGATTTCTTTTGCTTCTTAAAAGAATCATAGAGAGGTTGTTGGAATAATCACTGACTGAGTAATTACATATAGATGTAACGCAGTATGACGAATATGGATGATAATGAATGTAGGCCACAAATAGTATTGCCAATAACAACGACTTTCCGCTTTAGATCGACCAACTAATGTGTTATATGCGGTTTTTGCGCTAGTGTCTTTGTAGTTTTGCTAGGTTTCAGTAATGGATGTGTATCTGAATCGAGAGACCGTATGCTCTTTTTAACGGCTTTTTAACGGTTAGTATTCCGAAATAACGTTTTCCAGAAACAACGTTTGGTCAAATTTTCATAAACTCGAAAGTAATTTCGAGGGGAAAATGTTTTTTCTTTTAAACTTTTTTTTTATCTCTGGGAAACGCGTTACGCGTACCGCTCGGAACAACTTAACCTAACCTAACCGAAAGTAATTGTGTCTTTGCGATAAACATGGATGTTTATCGCAAAGACACAATTACTTTCGGAATATGTTGGAACATATCCTGAAAGAACAACGGTTTCGTTATAATTCGGTTTTCGGTGTAACGGTTCGAACAAACGGTATTTCGGAAAAAAATATTCAATCTTGTGATAGGTTACCCTTTCTAACATTTTAATACAATGTAAGTTACTATCTTTTAAGTGGATCCATCAGTCCCGATGCTTAGTAAACTTGGACTTAAAAAAAAGGTATTTTATATTTAATGTTGACGATTTTCAAGATGTTACGGTTTTTTCATTGTATACCTATTACATCAATCGTGATAGACTGATGTTAGGACCTATCGTCTCACAAACATAGGCCATGGTTTCGAATCCGGACTCACACCTTCAGTTTTTTGGAACTTATGTGCGAAATTTAATTGAAATTTACCATGAGCTTTTCGGTGAAGGAAAATATTCAGATGAAACATGCATGTCGAGGAAGCTTCGTAACTCTCGGAAAACGTGTCAAGCCCCCAGCCCGCATTGAACGAGAGGAACCCATAGCCAGCACTGGGTGGTTTAAAATTAGTTGATGATGGTATCTATTACGGATAACTTGGTCCATCTTATGTAGCAAATTTAAAAGGCAGATGGTACATACGTTACATACATAGACAAAATTAGAAAAAATGTTGCTAATAGAGAAAAGAACAATAATGTTCAGAAATTACTTTGAATTTGAATTGTTGCTTGTTAGATTGTCTGGATATAGAAGTGTAAACGTGGTAAAGGTCGTTAATCCCAAGGGCTCGTCAGTCCCAAACCCTTAAGTTGACTTTTTGCCACGGTTCGATAATAAGGTGAACGTCCTTGTCAAACCTTAATACTAAAGTATTGTAATAAGGTGAACGTCCTTGTCAAACCTTAATACTAAAGTATTGTTTGATTACATTTATAGATTTAGATAATTTAGTGTGTGAATTTCAAAGGAAGTCTATAAAACAAATGCAGATCGGCTATGAAGTAGAGTTTATAATCTAAAAGAGGACTGGAAATTAAGGAGATCAGAGATCAGCTCCCGGTCTTATGACGCCCGCTTCCAGCCACTGCCAGCCACCTTGTACAGGTCGTCCGTCCATCTTGCCCACATTCCATCGACACACAATTGAGACGACTTAAAATGAGCAAACTCGGGGTTCTGCTACACAGTTTTGTAGATGCCATCAAAACTTTAATTAATATTTATTCTCTTGGCCATTAATTCACTCGGCAACTTCTCAGAAACACACACTCAGAAACAAACACTAATACTTTTCACTTTATATCAAGAAGAAAGTATAAACAATATCCCAATTTGACAATCCAGTATTTGATACACATTTCATCTAAATTTATTCACCCTCTTATAAGGAATTTCAAACCGTCGAATTATCCTTTTTTTTCTACTTTAGTGATATTCAAAACAAAAAACAACTTCCAGGTTCTGAGCGAGAGAATTGAAGAGTGGAAGACGCCAGAGGCTGTGAGGGCCGCGTTGGTAATGCAGCTCAGAGATGCAGTTGGTGTGCAGAACATCGCTGAGAGACAAGACAATATCACCAGGTAAGGTTTAAATTTAACTTTTATATATTAAAATAAAATAGAGGAGTATA